TAAAAATTCCCTAAACATTAGATATTTTGTAATAGGTATTCAAGTCTTACCTGAAATCACGTAGTTTCCATAATATAACAATTCCCTTATTATTAATCCACAAATGAGATTGATTCTGGAATCCTTGGAGCACCCCCGCTTACGACTTTTTTTTCCGTGAAAAAAAAAACGTTTTTCATGGATAATGACACCGTGAGGGACCCTCACCGAACGGTTCCATGATGCTCTTTTCGGTGGAGTCCTGAGCACCGAATGATCCCTGGCATTCGCTAATTGCACCGAATAGCACAACAATTCGAAAAAGGGAATTGTCCCGACGACTTGACCGACTTGACACAGAGATCAGCGGAAGACTGAGGACTGAGGACTGAGGACTGAGGGGCGAGGTTGCGCCAACGTCTCCCTCTCACAACTATTTCTTTTTTACTGCTTTTTCCTACGTCATTCGTCCCACAGTCACAGCATAATCCCATTCAGCCACATCCAGCCACATTCAGCCATTACTCTCAAAAACTCCACCTCCATCTTAAAAAAATTAATGCCACACCATTTTCACCAAAATTATTCGACTTTTTCTCAGTCTTTTTCTGGGTCTCCTGCAACAATTCCCAGAAACACACGACAATTTTGTTTTCACCTGTACATCAATGAACCCCAGATCCCATTGTTCCTACGAATACACCTGTTTATCGTCGTTTATTCCGTAAAAACAAAACAACAGGTTGTACCTCGAATATCTGTCCACGAAATAAAATTCAATGAGTAGAACGGAAGAATGTAACCAGTAGTCAAGAGTCCCCGCATTTTCCCTCTGGATTTCCGAGAAAACGGAATAATAACACGAGTCACACGACAAAAACGAGAGACACCCACAGACAATACTCTATGACAGTGATTCTAGACCAATGAGAGCCCTAGGCCACTGGGATCTAACCTAATCTGGGTGGAATATCTGGGTAGATAACAAAAAACGTCATTGAGACAAAAAGTGTCAGCTGGTGTAATGACTCTGTACGTTTTCCCACGAAATCCGTTATTCCATAAAAAATTCTCACTTGGTAGATCCAGAGGTGGTTATCTCCATGTAATTCAACTCCAGTGGTAATGAAGTGACATGACAATGAAGAAGAGTGGAATGAGAGGTAATTGAGGTTATTGTAACAATAACCACAAGGACAACGTGAACGCAATGATCTCAGGTGAAAGTGTCCAGCGATCTCCCAAAAATGAATGCTTTATTGAATACCGTGAAGTCAATGACGAACAAGAGGAATATCCTGGTGAAGGAGTCCCTCAGGAAGCAATTGAATATTGTTGTGATGGAGATGCAGGGGCTGGAGGGTGTGAGTGATGGAGTTCCAGTGGATAATTGCGAGGAGGCAATGGCACTCTGTGCAGTTTTGGAGGCAATATTTCTTCATGGTCTCAAGGACAGTCTATTGAACAGAGTGACAGAGGCCTTGAGTGGGCCAGACTTTGATGCCATGCCCCAGCCATCATTCTGGGGTCCACTGCTGGTCTTCTCCCATCGCCAGATGATCAATCAGATTCAGGAGCTCAAGCAAATAACAACTGAGGTTGGATACTGCAGGGCATGGATACGCATTGCCCTCAATGAGGGCCTCCTCTCGAGTTACTTCTCCTCGATACATCAGGATAATTCATCACTCAAACCTTATTACGACAGGGCTGCATTTATCAGGGACGCTGATCATATTGAAGTTGCTCGAAGGCTTGTTGAGAGTCTTGATTCCATTTGTTTTAATTTGGCATGCAATACAAGTCTTCTCAATCTTTGGTCCAGCACTCCACTCCTGATGGCAGCTATTTGGTCACCTCCGTTGAAGTCTTGTCCGATTGTCAGTGCTGTTGATATTGCCAAGACTATTAATAGTGACATAACGGAGATTGATAATTTTGAGGATGTGGAGACTGCTAGCTCCATTGGGAGTATTGGGTCTTTTGGATCTTCTGGGGTTTTTAGTAATATCAATTCTGGTCTAAGTGAGGATGATGCTCTGAGGATTATTCTGGCTAATGGAGAAAGGAGGAAGAAGAAAAAGGAGAGGAAAGAGAGGAAGGAGGTGATTTCATCTGGTGAAACCTCTGGGAGGAGAGAACTAGATGAGAGAGGGGCTGAGGGGGCAGATGAGAGTGGGAAGAGCACTGTGGAGAGTGAGATGATACTGAGGGGGGTGGAGAACGAGGGAGGAAATAGAGGAGAAAAAGAGGGAGGAAGTGAGGAAGGAGTGGAGAGAGGAAATGAGGGGGAGGAGGTGGAGGGAATGGATGGTGGTGTCAAGGCTGAGGGGGCAGCATCTGTGGGGAATTCTCTGATTGGAAAACTGGGGTGGTCTACCTCCCTCGAGGATGTCGAGTCCTCTATGACCTCGTCTGTCATCTCGAGGACATCCAATCCTGAGGCGCCAAAGACACCTGGCGAGGGATCCACGTATGATGCCCTTATTAAGAGCTATCATCCGGGGGGATATCCCGATTTGAGAGAATTTTTGGATAGGTATGCACCCAGCGTCAGGAGCGAGGAGAAGGAGCCTGAGGGCGATACTGAGGTGATCGCTGACGATTTCGACAACCAAATTGGAAAACTACCTCGTGAGAAGGGTCTGGACACCCAAAACTACAGTTGCCTGGAGTGTGGCCTATCCGTGGGCATGACTTTTGCCAAGGCCCACGTTTGTTCATTCACCGGGAGATACTACTGCATCGATTGCATGTCAACTGAAGAATTCCTGATTCCCTCTCGCATAATCCACAACTGGGATTTGAAGCACTATCCAGTGAGTAAAAAATCAGCAGAATATCTCACAGATTGCTCAACCCTTCTGAACCTCAAGGCCTTGAACCCAAGGATCTATGCAACAGTCGAGAGCATGGCCCAACTGCAGACCCTCAGGATCCAATTGAATCTACTGCGTGCCTATTTATTTACCTGCAGAGAACCAATAATTGACTCTCTCCAAAAAAAAGTAGCGCCGAGGGAGTATCTGTATGAGCACGTCCATCAGTACTCAGTTTCTGATCTGCTTGATGTACCAACTGGAACACTTGCTCAACAGCTCCAAAAGGTCGTTGAATTCGCAAGAAATCACGTCCTCAACTGCTGGCTGTGCAGCCAGAAGGGTTTTATCTGCGAGATCTGCAGCAATCCCAAAGTTATTTACCCCTTTGACATGGAATCCACGTTCAGGTGTAAAGGGTGCAATGCTGTTTTCCATGCTGACTGCCTCAACTCCACGAAATCATGTCCAAAGTGCGAGCGACGACGTAAACGACTCGATCGGTTGCTTCTCGACGGTGAGACCTCACTCCCACAGAATATTATTACATCTTCACCAATTCATATGAATTGATTTGTATTATAAATTTAGATTAATTGAATTCTTAGGGGAAACTATTAGGTTGAAGTGGGAGAGTATTTGCATTGTGAAATTACAATTTATTCGAAGAATGTAACTAAATTTGTTATTTCTTGTTTTTTAAGTTGAGAAAGTATTTTATATATTCCGGGCAAAAATCCAATTGCGAGATAGTTTTGAAAAATTCACTATAAAGTAGAGTTCACTCGTCTTTTGGAAATTTTGACTGAGGAAAATATTGGACGTACTGGAAGTGAGATGCAGAAACGGTATTACTGAGGAATTTAACATGAATTATTGTTATTCCGCTGAAAGATATGCGAACAGGCTAATCATTGTATAAAATATAATTTTATTAAAAAATTTATTACTGATAATGTCGTAGATTAAATGAACAAACTCCCTTAATCATTGCTAATTGCTTCTAATACTGGATTTTCAATTACGATTTTCTTATTTGTTCTTAAGTGATCAAGTATTACATGTGATATTAAACTAGAACACCAATTCGGTCTAGGTGATTCAATATGTACAATGATGTAAGGCAAGAAATATTCAATACTCTTGTGATCTATGAAAATATAATCATCCCATCTTTCATGGATTATGATATAGTTTGTACTTTGAGGCCAGGAAACACTTCTCTGACGAGGACTTTTTCACAAAAATTCTACATTTTACATTATTACAATAAAAGGGAAATTATTGATGGAAAACTAATATTTATAAATCAAGAATTAACGACTTTCTTGACTTCAATTCACAGAACTAAACAAGCAGTGAGGAGAAAATCATAATTTTCAGCAGTACTTCCAGTAATAAGAAATTGATAAAAATTTCGTTACCCTGAATTACATTAAGGATTTGTTTTTGGAGTGTTTAATTTTACTACACTCTCCCTATCAATTAACTAAAGCGACTCGCAGTCTTACACCTCTTCACTAATCTAATAAATTCAAACGGTTTCACCCTTTTCTCAATGGAGAGGCTTGGAAAAGTACGCGGAAGGTAACAAAGGTTTATCCAAGACAGTTCTCCTCAACCCAATGCCAGATGCACTCTTCGACTTGACCATGTTGGACCCCAAAGGCACATTGTTATTCTCATTCACTCCATTCCCCCCAGTCTCCGTGAATCCAGCAGTTGGTAGTTTCTGGTAAATATTCATCCTCTCCATGGGTGTACTCGTGCTTCCAATGTGTCCTGGCCTGATAAAAGCCCCAGGTCCTACAGTGCTGTCTGTGATAACTCCAACTCCTGCTCTTCCTGGAGACGTCCTCGACGTCTGATTGACATTGCAACCCTGGACTATACCATTCCTGGGGTTGAATCCCCCTGTCAATGGAACGCTATGCTGAAGTGTTGTTCCAGTATTCGGTGTTTTACTCTCAAATTTATTTGTAAGGAACTTATTGCTCCTCGGTAATGTCAATTGAAAATTGGATGGTACACTGACTGCCGCTGGAGTCGTCACACCCTGGAGAGGACTCTGGCTGTCAGCCAATCTACGATTCAACCAACCGATCACGTTGTCATTGTTCTTTATCGTTTTCTCCTGAGATTCCACCTGGCACTTCAACATTTTCACCTCATTCTGCAGACTCTCCACTTCAGATTTGAGATCTTTCATTACTTTTGAATTTTCCTCCAGTTTAGTCTCTAGTTGGCCAATCTCTTTTTGCTTTGTATCCAGTAATTTTTCCTGCTCTAGGCAGATACTCGTTCTCAATTTTAATTTCGATTTGGCTGTCGACAGCTCATTCTGAATTTTTTTAATTATTTCATTAGCTTTGATGACTTCGTCACCCACGTGTTTCAGAGCGTTCTGTTTTCTCTGGAGTTGATTCTCCTTTTCTGAGAGCAATTCCTCCAATTGCTGTTTCTGCTCTTTTCCTGCTTTCCACATTTCCGTGTGTTTGTTGATTAGAATTGTTTTGTCTTTCAGATCTTGCTCGAGGACTGCTACTCTCATTCTTAAATCGTTAACGACTTTGTCCTTGTCGTGATAGTCGACGTCGAGTTTTGAATTTTGTTTCTTCAGGTTGGAAAGGTCTCGTTGGGTTATCTCTAGGTCTCGCTCGAGGGTTTGGAGTTGTTTTAGCTGTTCTGAGTTTGTCGCTTCCAGGGAGATTTGTTTTTCTCGGTAGGATTGGTTCTGAGTTCGAAGCTCGGAGAGTTCTGTGTGGAGTTGCTGCAGGATCTCACTCTGGTGACGTTCCAGCGCGATTTTTTCCAACTCTGAGACCTTCTGCCATTCGAGTTTTGCTTGGGCCAATCTGGAATTGATTGTTTGAGGGTTTAATAGGAGAAGGTGAACAGAATATTCAGAATCTAGGATGACGTAACTGTTTTCTGTCGTAGCTTCACGCTGACGTTTAACGGAGATAATGAATTGTAATCATTGATAACTTGAATGACCTCTTCTGACGTGAAAAATAACGTAATACGTCAAATTTTTATGGATTATGATTACGGATATTACGAAATCGTGTAACATGCTTTAAGTATTTCGATTTTTAAATGCGATTATGCGAAAGTGCGCGATCTTTCCAATGATTAGACATATTTGATGAAAAAAAAAGAAAAATTTCTTCAGGGCAACAGTTATTTATGGAAAATTGACGTCAATTACGAGATATCTGAAGGATTCTTTCGACATAAGGTTGAAGTGAAAATAACAAATAATTTTTCAGTTACAATAACACAAGTGTTTTCAAAATTATCGAGTATTTACCGATAGCCGCGTTGAATGAAAATAAATGTGGCAGATGTTGTTGGTTAAAAATGGAGAGATTTTTGTTTCGATATTTATTTTACAATTAAATAAAAAAAAATATCAAATAAAATAAATGGATCCTTCGAGAATCTACACGATTGTCACAATCGAAAATTAATCAAGGTCACCTACAAATTTATTGACAAAATGGGATTTTAAAAACAAATATTTCTCCCACGTGAATTAATGTTCGGCAAACATTTTTCTTTTTCAGTGTAAAGGATTGAATAAAGAAAAAATTTTACCTTTCTTTCTCAATACTGAGTTGATGTGAAGCCGTCATCTGGAGCTGGCTTCTATCTGCCAGAAATCTCTGCTCCAGCTGCTCATACTCCCTCACCTTGCTCTCAAAATCCTCATTAAGTGCATTCAGCCTCGTCTCCAATCCCACCGCCTCTCTATTCCTGTTCCCCAGATCTTCCTTCAATTTTTTTATCTTCATCGCCATGTGTGTTTTAATATCGTTATCACTGGCCGGTGCAATGCTGAGACTGAGATGACACAAGTGTTTAAAATTATTCGTCTCGACCAATTTGAAAATCCAATCGCTGTTCTCCTCGGCGAGGAGCAGCAGAAATTTCGGTGGACCTTTCGATGCACCTGGACACGACACGTTGCATTGCTCGAGGAGACATATAAGTTGGGTTGCAAAGTTGTCGAAGTCCACCAGGAGACCCTGCTGAGCCTTGAGGATCTTGAAGTCCTCGTCGTTGATTAGGAGTGAGTAGAGGAAGCAGGGATCCTCATCGTCTGCCAGAAGAACACACAGGTTCTGGGAAATTCATTGCAAAAGATAAACAACAAGGTAAACCATCGAATTACTTAAATATCCACCAAATTTACCGCTAATTAAATACTAAATACTTCTTTCTTTTGAATTAATTATAAAAGTATTTCAGACGTATTTAAGATTTGGTTAATGAGGAAATATTGAATATGTTTGGTATTTCATTGTTTAGTATTCAATAAGCATTCTACTCTTGTTAGTACTGAAGAGGACAATTCAAAAGGGAACATTAAACTGTCCTAATGAAGACAGAAACGATTTAGGTTAAGAAAACGGAAAAAATCACCTTTTGACAAACAGGACTGATCCCCGAGTGAATCTCCACATTGACCCTCAGGTCTTTCTGCCGCTCCTCCTTGTGCTGAGGTTTCACATAAACCCTCTGCACTTTTGTATACAATACCTCAACATTATTAAGTTGCATGGCATCTCCACTCTTAACATTATTCACTGACACGCTCTTCATGAAATTCATCTCGGATCTCATGAATTCCCTCAGATCCTCGATAAAATCCTCATAATCGAGGACATGAGACGAGATAATATTTATATCATTAATCGACGAAACACGAGGATAAACACTGATGACGTTCCAACTTTCAAATTGTCAGCGTCAGTCGATCGTGTTGATCCACGGGAAGGGGATTTTTTCATTTGTATTGGTTATGTCTTTTGACTTCGGACATGCAAACATATACAAGAGCATGCAAGCATCACTTCAATAATTTTATACAACTAGCGCCGCCCCGGTCGCCAAAACCCCCACGACATTGATAAAATTCCCGTTTTCAAATGCATTTACAAATTATTTATGGGAATGAGAATTGATGCTTTGAAAGTTACGCATAAATAGGTTATTTTTCTGCGAATAATTCTGTATACACATAATTTTATGTTCAAACTTTTATGTACTGGCCCAATTACATAACATACTATACCAAACACGTGCGTTATATATTTGACTCAAATCACAGCCCTCCCACGAATCAAAAAATCCATTACACACTCATTACGTAATATAACTTGATTTTCGGCAATTTTTCGAAATTACCTCACCCCTCCATAAAATTCCCATCTAGAATAAATCCGGCGAATGGCGAGTCGTGAAAATTTCCCGCGTGATGTTCTTCTGGATTGCGCAGACGTGGGGTTGGTGGGTTCCCCTGGATCTGGAGAATCTGATTGGCTCGCGGTGTTAGTCCACGAGCGCGTCATTGGGGGGGGCGTCAGAGGAAGGGCCAGCGCATGCGCACTCCGTCTGTCCTACCGGTTGCACCCGTTCACGATGCGCTCTTCACATTTCCCTGCAATTATTCACTAATTTACCGTAATTTTTTATATTAACCCGAGTGCCCCGACATAAATCAAGTGATCATCGCGATTAATTCGTCGTGAAAGAAATTCCAATCGTTTTTATTGTTTGATCCAAGTGCTGTGAGTGCAGACGTGGAGTGTTTGTGAATTTTTGTTTATTTACTGGTGAATAGAATAGTGAAAATAATTTCATGTGCGTTTCACGTGACTTTTGGGATTTACTGGTGGACTTCGGGGGTGGAGACCATTGGAGATTAATAGCGGAAGAGGTGAGTTATGTAATGGATTTATTAATGCTTTTGGGGAAGTCGTTGAAGGGATTTATTTTGCTTGAGGTTGTTTAGGGGTTCTGTCATTTTTTCATTATTCGACGGGATATTGGCCTCGGGAACGTGCACTCCGCATGGTGTAATTTCCACGTCGTTCAGTGTCAGTGTGCGATTATTATCATGTGCTGCCATCTTTCCCAGAGACTTGGGTCATCGTACGACCTGATGACCCAGCCAAGGGTTCACCAGGTTAAAGTACCATTTTTCGCAGGATAATATGGACACCCTGGGTGAAGGGGTCCTTAGGACATCCCCGGAGGGTGGGGCAAAATTAATGTCAAAAATTTTTTAGAAAAACCGGTAGAATTTCCAGTTTCATTGGACATCGATTGAAGTGAAAAATTATTGATTCCACACAGGGAAATACTGAAGGTCTTTGTCGGGAATTCAATCAAATTTTTTTATGTTTCCACTTCGAATCGTTTTCAAGGTGAAACGATTATCGCTTTACTCAGAAAAAAATCGGTAGCTACGTAGATAAATCGAGATATCGAATCGAAGTACGAAACAGCTGTCAGTGATATCCTGAAGGTTAATTGATAAGATGAGTTAAATTATTAGTCAATTATCGACCATTAACTAATGATCAATCGACAGATGAATTTTTATTCCGAGAAATTTATTAAAATTTCAGTTTCAATGATACCTGAATTTTTAACTTAATAAAATGTGAATTTAATAAGCTTAATGTGTCGGTACTGAACCATGAGAACTTGAAAGACTGAATTAAAATTCTGAGATAAGACATCACAAGTAATTAAACACGTGTTGTTAAATTACTTTGTCCTCCCTAATTCCATAAATTAAGGACCGCTCGCTATTTTATATTTATTTATCCTTTGTATAAATAGTCGTTTGGAGACTTTGCATGAGATGTAAATAGAGGCAAGCTGCAAGTCCTTTAACAAACTTGCAACGAATCTCGTTAAAAATTGAAACAATCAAATATTGAGAATCCCCGACGGATGAGATAAGAGAGTCGAGAGGGCCGCAAAAACATCTGGATAATCCCAAGTTCAAGAGAAAAAATGAGATAAGGGTCTTCGGAAAATACACGACTCTAAGAAAATTCGGATATTACCTCTTATGTTCAAGAACAAATTACGCCTAAAAAACACTAATAACTTCTCAAAAAAGTCATCGTTGAGCCAACAAAATCGTTCATTAAACACTACCAAAGAAATAATCGGTGTTTGAATTCCAAAGTCTCAAAAGTTGAAACAAAACATTTAATTTTGTCATCTTCATTCTGACGGAATCGTGTGAGTTGCTCCAAAAATGACCGATTTCGCTTAACTTCCAAAAATATTTTTCCTACAGTTCACTTGAATTTCTTAATTAGGTAATTAGTCGAAGTTCTTCGTTCCCTTTGTTCGAGAAAACGAAGATTTAAAGAAGGTCTTTTCTGCCTCTCCACTCCCATCAATTTAAGCTTCTCATTTTTCAATTTTCTCTCGTTGCTTGGAGGGTATTAAATAACTCTCCACATGTGAAATATATTCAGTTTCAAGTTACGAGTTATATATCCCTGAAATCCGGTCGAAATACGTAGATTCTGGCGGATGGGGAAGAGTTTCCCATTGAATTCAATAAATTTTTAATCACTCCATAGATTTTTCGTTTTTGTGTCTATCCATTGAGAGGATGACCAATAAAAATATATAAAAAAGAGAAAAAAAAAAGAAAAAAGCCTTCTCGTACAAAATAAACATTCAATCGAGTCTACTCTTCAAAATTCATATATTTTTAATCATCAATCTTCAGAAAAATGAATTTCGACAATTAGACAAAACTGAAAAAAAGGATTTAACAATTTCCAAAAATGTCTAAGAATTGTATCAGAAATATTTATCATCATAAACCAGTGACTATAATTGAAGATTAATTATTCATTAAGGGTGTCAATGATCTCAATCAATAATTGATCTCGATTTGATCGGAAAATACTACTTATTGCCCCAACAATAAAAGTTCGGCCTAAAACTCTTGAATAAATCGCGATAATGAAAAAACTGATGGCAGTTACATTTGTTGATTGCCCCAGCGGATATCCGGTTTTGATCGGCATTGATTAACAGGTTATCAATTCAATGAGAATTTCCTATTGTCCTTCCATCCACCGCTGATCCACTGCCAATAATAATTCCTCATGAACCCCTCAACAAATTTTTCTCAGCAAGAAAGGCCAGATAACAGTACTCCATCATTGAAGAGGCAAAAATTTCTAGTCGACACATTTCATTTGAAAAAAATCCAGAAAATACAGTTCTCCAATCGATATAAAGAGTCACTGCCTCAGTGCACAAACACTTCATGTAACTTCCTGCAGGCTGAAATTTATTCCCCCTTTAGTATCCATGGAGAGCAGTCTTTGAACTGTAATCCCAATTATTCATCATTCCCAAAAACAAGCAGGGATTAATTAATTAAATAGAAAAATCCAGACATTGGGTAGATCTCCTAAAACTTCTAGGATATCCTGAGATATCTTGAGATATCCTGGGATAAAAATATGGGATAAGAAAAAATCATACGATAAGAGATGAAAATAAAAAGATTCGACGACTCGAGAGATATGGCGATATCTCCTTTAAAGAGTTTCTCACAACAGAATAACACAGAGACGTGAGTAAACGCCAACATTACACTTGGCAACACTGGAAATGAGTGTTTCACTCGCGTGAGGTCACCTCCACCAGAATCGTTCTTATTTCTATAAATCATCTCGTATCCAACAAGATTTCTGTCTTATTTATTTTCCGAGTAAGTGCACAACAATGTACGCAAATAATATTGGCGGAGGTTAACGACCAGAACAGCCGGGGGGAGCTTATAAAAAATTGAAATATCGAGTGGAGTCACGATTGACCATAAAAATCCTATTCTCCATCCTCGTGCAGAAGAATTGACAGGCTAATTGGTGATTTCGCTGGAAATGACAAGCTCTCAAAATGGATAGATCGTCACAATATCTATATTTAGGAAAAATGGTTCAATACCATGACGCAAAGCCTCGACTTTCCGATTCTCTGGGTATAAAAAAAAATGGATAGAAAAATAAAATAGCCTCTAGTATGTCTTTTTACGGATTGTACATGTTTCCGCTTGGCAACGACGCGTCGGCGATGGCAGAACTGGTGGCAGTGGTGGAAGTGGTGGAAGTGGTGGAAGTGGTGGCAGTGATGCCAGTGGTGGCTACCGTAGTCTCAGGTCCGGACGATATGCTGACTTGCTTGGGGAGTTACACTTCAAGTGCCTCTTCCAGGCTTACACAGAAACCCTCACCACATTTTTTTCCCCTCCTTTTTTCCTCGTTTTCCTGTCGTCTGTTGCTTTTTTACACCAGCTCTGTCTCACAAATCGAATGAAACAACTCTCTCATTACATGCAGTATAATTATTCTGGATAAATGTATATAAATTAGGAATATGATTCCGCGCAGTCCTCTGAGGAATTATATCAGCATAAACAGTAATTACCTCCTGGTTTCGATAATGCAGCATTAAAATTATAATTTCATACTCTAATTGTACTCAATTGGAGTAGAATATCTCGCGACAGGTCTACAATTCAAACATTTCCAAAGTACGAATTTTTATCAATCTCTTCTATATATCTCAATCGATTCTCCGGATGAAATCTCCCCGGCAAAAAGAATCGTTCATCATTCATGAGTTGGAGGGAAATCTGCATGTGGATGGAAAAATATATTTTCCATGTTGTTTTAACACACCTACCGTGACTTTTCTCATTTATTTCTGTTATTGGAACTGTATCCTATTACTTATCATCCAACATACGGCCACCAGACGGGGGAATATTCTTTTTGATGTTTCAAAATAGAGACTGCAAGTTCGTAGGCCATCGGTTTCACCAGAGTCGCTCCCTTTTCTTTCTTCATTTCATTTATTGCTCTGAATGGAACCACTCCCCACTGAAAAAAAAATCAAATTTCTGCTAGATTAATTTATTATGTATACACAAATGTATGTGCACTAGGTAGTAATGTACATGTAGAGATGACATTTCTGGTAGCTAACGAATTGCCAAAATTTTTGTATTATGAGTGTGGATGACAGATAGATGGTGGAGAAATGGTTGAAATTTATTTTGAAATGTTGATAATTTTCCAAAGAATATTGATGAGCTATTGAATGCATTTGTTGTTCATTGAGTGGATTCATTTTTCGATGGTGGTATCGACGCCGTTCAGGGGCCAGCTGTCCCTCGCCATCTGTCGTTCTCGTAAAATCCACCGGAGACTTTCAACATTCCCCAAAGTACCTTTTCACATCGGCAAAACTAGTTCCCTTTTCGAAACAACGAATCGTGTAGGAAACTAGGGCCTGGAGGATCCGGGTAATCCGAGTCATTAACGTGGAAACAATAACTCGTGACGTGAGCTGATGTGGGCACGACATGATACATTAATACAGTACATGGACACACAATCGATTACATACGCACAGGAAAGATTTACGAGAGTTATTGAAAAATTGTGACTGAACACGAAGAGAAGAAAAGATGACAGATTTGTCTGTTTCCGGAAAATTGAGAAAATTTTCATTTGATCTGTGATAAATTCGCCATAAAAAATCTATTTTTTAGTCCATGACAGCTTTGCCTGTGATAAAAATCCCTTTCAACCTAATCTCTCACAAAATTTAGAAAATTGTCTCCAAGTGCATCTATGATATGTGGCCAGACAGATCTATGACAGATTCGTTATGAAAAATCTGTTTTTTATCCATGACAGATTTTCCTGTCAAAGAAATCGAACTCAGTGTAATCTTTCGGAAAGTTCATTGATTTTTCATTAAGGATGGACTTAGAGACTGGGGGCTGCCAGATTTTTCATAGATCTTGACCATCGGCAATCTGTTTTTATTTTGGTATTTGACAGTTTTGGTTGGCAGGAAGGCAAGGGACAAAGACAGGGACACGTCGTGACTACAGTCACGTATACGTCTACATCACAACTAAAACAGAACTACACAGACATGTGACGACAGTGAACGCTCATTCGTCCGAAATATCAGGAGATTCATTCCATTCTTTATACGCAGATATTTTATCTATCATAATTCCACGAGCAAGTTCTCGCTTATTCATTAGGAATTCTCTTCAAATGGCTTCATAAACATCAGAACTTCACCAAAAGTAGATGTTGAAAGTTAGATACTTCCCATTTTATAGAGAAACCTTGTAAAATTCTCGATTCCAAAGAATCTTCATTAAACTTTTGTACTAAATTTGCTTTTGTGGTTGCCGTTAAAGATTTCAAATGGAATTTCCCGTACACTCTGAGATTTCGTAGGTTCACTGGAATTTTAAGAACTACCATACATAGGCATTTAATCCAGTTGTTTACACAAATGTCTACATCGTGGAGGAGATACGCCCTTGAAGTGACTATTTCTCAATCAACCATTAACTTGCATATTCCTATTTTTATTGAAAACACCTGTAATTTATAGAATTTTTGCCTGTAAAAATTGAAAATTGGTCGAATTTTGAGTGAAGCCTCAAAATTTATGAACCGATCGAAAATGGAATTCAAGGCCACCCTGGAAAATGACAACTCCTGAGCTGCACTGATCTATCCTTGAAATGGCTATTTCCATTGAGCAATGCGTGAAGGATGAAAATTTTCCAGACGTGCTGCCTTGGGCGCTGTCATCCCTCGTTCTTCACTCCAATTGTTTATAAAAATTCGTTGACGTTGTAACAATGCAGGAAATATACCAGTGACGTCACTATTTCCTTCGAATTCAACTTGACGGGAATTTTTTTTGAGCCACGCATGGCTTCCCTTTGTTACGGACTGAAGATTCTCAAAGGGTTCCACACAGACAAAAAAGAGAGTCCAACCAGCTGCTCAGGTATTATATATATATTTTTTTCCACTGCTCGATTCCTCAGCCTTGGTATTCTTTATCTCGTATTTACTCACTCATGAAAAGCAATTTTCTTGTGCCTCAGGCCGAGCTACTTTCGTAGAAAAATCATTTGCGACTGTTGAACTAGATTTAAGAATCTTTCCAGCAAATCTGTTTACCTGGGGCAATTATTCTGACGCCATTATTTCAGAGAAAAATTTTGTACCTCTCGGGATGATTCATTCAGTACCTCGACCGATCCTTGCAAAAGGTCCACCCGCACTTTACAGCCGGCTGGTGGAAAATCTCTCATTGTTTGTCACAATCTTTTCATCAAGTTTTTCCGCCCCCTGGACAATCACCTGAGGTGCTCGTAAATGAAAGAACCAGCTGGACAGGCCTGAAGAAAGACCTGTATCAGTTGCATTTATACCTGCGAGTCCCTTCCTCTGTATGACCCCCTCTGAGCTCTACGGTTTCAAAAAAAATTCCTGTCTTTTCCCTGGAAATCTCCACCCAAAGACGTCCGGTCTATTTTCCTGGTAGAAAATTCCTCCTAATACTCCGGAAATAATGAGTATTTCAGTATTTCATTGTATTTATTACTATTTATTTGTTTTCTCATGGAAAAGTCCTGAAAAAAAGTAATATACCTTGCTCAAAGTCCAGTCAGTCAGAGACTACTAGGTAATCGGTGATCAATTGTTATAATAACTCAATAATAACACCATTAACTATTTGTTTTTGTCGCGAAAGAGTGCAATTTGCTCTCATCGTAAAAAGTCGCGACCGAGATCACTAGATGAATTCACTCCTGTCTTATGAATATTAAACTAAAAATGTCTAAAGTGTCTATTAGCCCCGCCCTCTCACATATTCCTTGTTTGGTCATGATTACATAATATCCCACTATCAAAAAAAAAAACTTCATTAGATTTATATTGCGGATGAGGCAACTCTCGATGTTGAACTCTAAAAAAATGATGAAATTGATTAAATGAACGGTTACGCGATTTTTTAACGGAGAAATGTCAGAACATCAGATTATTCTCTTGTTATGAGGCATTCACAATTTTTTTAAGGGAATTCTGAAGAAAAATAAATAGATATTGCGAGGCTTTGAATAATTTCAATAATTAGTGGATTGGAATACAGGAATAAATAGAATATTCATGGAATTGATATGTCCAGGGGAATAAACGACTTCAACATACAAATTAATGGAGTGGACAGGGTTTTGTAGTTTGAAGGAGAATAGTAAATAGACAATTCAGGGGTAATCGAAGGTTTCAGAAGGAATCAATGGAATTGTTTTCTTAAAGACAATTGTTACTGCTCTGACGTACTTCAGATCCAATGGGGGATATCCTTTTCATTTGAGAAGAACACATTTTGGAAGTAAATTTAGCGAACAATTGCGATCTGGTATGAGATATCTTTGAACAATAGATATAAAATCGAGCTCGACTGCTTCTGAAAGGTTTTATGTCCTGATTCAATTGTATTTGACGTCATCACTGAGTGAAATATTCAAAAATGTGTCAGAAAATATTGATTTATATTGAATTGCATTGATTTGCATTGAGTTCAATTGAATATTGAATTGCAGAACTGAAATTGGAAAAGTTTCTCGGATATTTTGGGATACAACTCCAGAGGTTCACGATTTTCTGTTGAGAAAATTCTCGATTTTCGTTGAAGGTTTGCAGAGAAAGGTTGAAGATATCAGAGAAATTAATTTGAAAGATTATCCTAAGAAATAGTAATTCCGTTGTAAAATAGCGGTTTAGCTCGGTTTTTACCGGAAACTCTCAGTGAAAATTACGATTATTCTCACGATTTTAACTTAATGTTATGCTAATTTTACCCAGATTTTCTGGTAAAAATTCCTCATTCGACACTCTGCGGCATAAATACTAGACGCTAAGGCAATTTTTTAAACAAATTTCCCTCCCTGTACGAGTTTGAAATCGTAATTTACAATTTTAATCTTGTAATTTACATTTCCAATCTCGTAATGTACGTTCAGATTTTTTGCGTGTTGATCTATCGGAAATGATTATTAGTATTTCAAAGACAGTTTGAACTTTAAACCTCATCCTGATAATTAAGCATTAAATTCAATGGACCTTTCAATAGAAAATTCAATAAAAATCTTGGAAAAATAATAGTCTGAATTTTCCTACTACTGTATCGGTAGAAAAATGAGTAAAATCAGAAAATCCCGGGAAAATCTCCCAAAGAACAAAAATTCTTTCGCTTCTTCTTCACTTCGAGTCCTACAATAATCACCCAGGTGTAATACCTCTGTAAAAAGATTTGCATTCGTCATTACAGTAGCTGTTGTTTTTTTTTGTATTGTCGTACTTCATGTGCGTAAGAAATTACGTATTCTACTTGCGCTAGTAGAGGGGCTCTCGTTGAGGTATTTTTTCTCCGACTTCTAATTCAGTTGATCCGTTTGTTTCGTTTACTGTGTTATTTCTTGGGGCTCGACTTTTGAACTGTCGATTATTCGAGGCGTACTATTCGACAGTATTCAACAAGAAAGAGATAGATTAAGAGATTGAATATTTATGTTGATTTATGTTATTGGTTCAGTGGTCTGCGAGATGGCAGTCGTTAGTGAGCCGTCCAACGTACAACTTTATTAATTTCTTATCTTTATTCTTAGGGGATGTTGTTTGGGGGATTTTTTATTAGGTAATTTCGTCTTGGAGATTTTTGTTTGCGGGAATAACTCCAAGAACCATTATTTCAATTCAATAAAATTTCCAACAGTAAAGTTCTCACAGAAAAGATTGGAAATGTTCCATCTGTGATGTTCACTGCTGATGCGGGTCCCCATGAACTCCAGAAGAGGATGTTTATCCAATCGTTCCATCCGTGAGACCTCTAAATATGAAGTCCCGAGGTAAAAATAAAACACTCCACGGTTATATGGAGATAACTCCATCGCCACAAGTCTCTTGACATTCTACGATTCCAATTTTTACGTGGAAACTATTGGTCTCACATAATATCGTTGAGTTTTCGAAATGGAATTACGACGCATTTCCTCGATGTTCCCTTTCCCTTGATTGGGTGGGTCTCATGTCTATTTGTAAACAAGTCTAATAAAACCCACTTGCCATGATGAAATTATCTAGAAACATAGACCGGAAACGGTCTGAAAATAATAATTTTCAATTAAATTTCATTCAAACAATATTTGTTTACGCGGATAATTATGTACAGACTGGAGCGGATACTTAGATGTGGCACATAAAAGTCTTCAACATTAAAATTGCAATTGTAATTGCAAAATGAATGTGACGGAAGCCTTCATCAATAGTTAACGAATTTTATTGTTAATAAATAAAGGGTCAATGGTGGTCTGCTCAGGGGAAAATCCAGGGAGATATTTTATAATTGTCAATTGTGTTGTTTGCATGCTGTTATTGTTGTTTTCGAGATTGGATTATTGATAGGAGTGTCTCGATAATTCTCTTGTTGATAACCGTGGGGAATGGCACGTAGCGGTGGGATATCTGGTACAAATACAACACAAGAAATCGATAAACATACATGAATTATGATTAGGCTGATATTATATTGTGTATCTTTGTATGCAAATTTAATGAGGGGGTATACATGCATGGGAGCAAAACAAAATTCAGATGACCCACTGTGTTTCAGAGTTCATCGTATTAAAATGGTAGACATTTTTTTGAATCATGTTGATGGAATTTTTCTCTCCATTTTGCTCTGAGGAAATGACATTTTTTTATTTCAATTTTCATTTTTCAGTCAGAACTATTCAATCGATTAAGAAAACAAACAACAAAATGAAGTTCTGATAATTCAAATGTTCCGTCAACTTTCATTGATTTTTATTTAATCAATTAAAAATTATCTTCTTTAATTAAAAACTAAAATTCAATTAAATTTTAAAGACTAATTGCAGAAGAACTTGCTTTTGAAAAGTATGAGAAATTAGAGAAATAAAAAATTATGTAATCCCCTCTAGTTTTTGTCAATTATTATAATATATTCTATATATATTGCAGAAGAAATTAATGAGCTAAACTCGTTCCAGCCGAATTAAAAAGTGTAATTTCCTCAAACCAAAAATCATGTTATTATTCAATGATTCATCAGAAAGAAAAAAAAATGAAGATTAATCATTTTTTCTTACTCTCTCACTTATGAAGCGTCGACATTGCCACAGTGAACCGAAAATCAAATGTCTTCTACACCAAGTGAAACCGCGAAATTATTTTGGAAAGGACTCGATGCACTGGCTTTCTCTCCCGACAACTCCACACTTTCCGATCCTTAGCTTTCAGTCCGAAATTTGCACCATCGGATCCCCCAATAAATATCGATAATCCCAGAGATTCGATTGGTCGTGTCAAAGATTATCCCCAAAAATATCTCAATCATCCAAACATGAAGCTGCAGTCTTCCCCCAGTCGCCATGAACTCAATACCCTGAGGACAGGAGAAAAATCATTACTTTTTTTAATGCATGGAAAAATTATTGAAGCCATTCTGGTCTCTTCCAATTATCCACTGACATGCCAATACAATTAATAACACGAAAATATTCTGAAGCAGATTATGCATTTCAAATTAGATTGAGATTTCATTTCACTTTCAAAAATTTCGTCTGCAGAGAAATTTATTAAAAAAATTACGGTAACAGATAGTGATTGCGTGGGAAATTGGCAGTATAAGAATTTTAACCAGAACCTCTGGAAAGTTATGTTTAACTAATTATTAATGAATTAATATTAATAATTATTAATTAATTGAGATAATTATTGATAATTACATGAATTATCGGTTTTTCATCCTTTTCGTGAAATAATTAAATGGAAAAATCGTGTTGAAAATTAAATTTCGCGGGACTGAGGCCGAATAAATAACTGCTTTCATGACTCTAGACGACTCTAGAATAAATCCTATATATAAAAACGTAATTTACTTATGCCCATCGGAGCGGCGTCCAAACGCTCGATAACTCATTCCACAGAACGGCGCTTTCTTCCTTGAAATATCGCTCTAATCTCGAGAGAAGCTGATTGAAATGATGGAAGTATCAATGAAACAAAAAAAAAATCCACGACTGCAACTTTCTAGCTGTTCCCCCTCGGCTTCCCCTTTCGGAGCCCGCGATAAATCGGTTTCATGGCAACTCGCCTCAGTGTCTCTCAAATTCCCATATTCATCCATCCCCTTTGTCCCCCATTCGCCAACAAAACTAGAAAAAAAAATATCCACTCCATTTCGTTAAAAAATTGGAAATGTGGGGTAAAATAATGAAATTTCTAGTGAACTGGTAAAACGATGTAAGTTAACTCCGTGAATTTTTTGGTAATATCTCTAAAATTATGGGAGATGCCGAAATTTTTGGTTGAATCTTTTTTGTCGAGCTGATCGAGAACTACGAAAAAAGTCATTACAAAAAATCGGCTACCTTCCTTAATTTCGGAGATATTCCTCAAAAACTGTAGGAAAATTACTACTGAGAACTCATTCCTCTTTATTATTCTGTTGGAAAATAACTTTTGAATCTCCAGTTAAAAATCTGGAAAGTTCTAACAACAAATAATTAACATACAATTTCCGCAGGTCTTGGAATTGATAAATTAATTTTCTTGAGTATTCATTAAAATTTGATATCTCAGCCTGATATTATATATATGTAGCCTGAGAATATATAATTTATATAATCCCTAAAACTCGAGCAAACGAAACTTTTCTTCTGAATTTTAAATAAGAATATTAAGTCATAAGAAATTTAATAATCACTCCGTCATAAAAATATTAATTATTCCATCAGCAATTTACTCTTAAATTGCATTCATCGTGAGAATATTAAAATCCAAATGCATGCATCTCCCAAACAAAAAAAAACATTCTAACTTGAGGAACAAAAGCCCCAAAGATATACCGTTTGGTTCCACGACCCCACGGACTGATGAAAGCCTCTTCTAATTCCCAAAATATTTAACAACAAAACTCAATGACAAAATCACGCCATTTTCTCCCACAGCTTCACCCCAAAAAGCTGCTCTCCGAAATAAAAAACCTGCAAATAAAAAAAATCAATTTTCCCCAACGAATTAAAATAAATCAATCCACCAACATAAAATTGGTTACAAGAAAAAACGATTAACCAACAGCTCACGGTCACCTCATGTCAGCGGAGGGGAGTTGTTGGAGATAAAGTTAAATTTTTCAGTATATTCAGTGTTTTGGGTGGATGGGTAAGAGGCCAATGTGAAACGAGGTTTCTCATTTTTTTTTTTCTTTCCCCTTTTTTTTTCGCGAGTAAAAGAGAGGGGCTCCCCTCTTCCCACGTCATCCATTATCCTGGCTCGCAGCTGCAGCCTCTTGCCCCGACAAGCACACACATATGTAGAAAAATATATAATACCATATACTGAAAAAACCCACACAACAACGGGGATCCCCCACCAGGAAGCCCCCGGTCTGGAGACCCACACAGGGAAATTAAGGTACTGCCGGTGGTGCGCAGCGTACACCACACAGAATAATGATCACGTGGTACTTGAAGAGCTAGTGGTGGGGGCAATGAAACCATAGAGTGGGTGATGGTAGAGGTGTTTTGATTGGTCGATGTTTGGTGCCACCACCCGTTTCTCCATGAACAAAGAATTGAGTCTTGCTCATGAAGCATCGCCACAACGAAGCCATTAGAAAGTCCTCGGCAGTGGTAAAGTGCGGTTCGTGTTCATTTCAATTCGCCAATCAAAAACGAAACACTAAATATTTCTTTTCACGCCGTGAGTAATTATCACCGTAAATACAGCAATCCACATCGACAAATTCACGGAATTGTAAGGAGCAGTCGGAGCAAGACCAGTCGATATCAACCTGATTCATCAGCCTGTAAAACCGCGAGTGAGATAATTAATCGAGCCGAGCGAAAAGGAAGAAATAAGGGAAAATAAATAAATCGTCTTGCCGGTTGTATTTTCGAAAAGGTGTGCAGTGCCGTTGTGTGCCCATCGTTGTCCTTCGATATCTCGTACAAAATCTGCAATAGATTGTTGCTAATAAAGATCAGGAGACGAGCAAGTGTTTCGAGATAAATAGGTGTTGGTAACGGAAGGTTAATTACGACTCGTTCGAGCTGGAGTGGCAACGCTCTAACAACCGCTACGTACAGTGGCGACGCCATTTTGAGAATACTGTGGCCATTTGGAAAGTTGCTGAACGCTACACACCGTGACCCCTGACAGAGTAAAAGGGGGCCATTTGAGTACTCGAATAATAAAAAAAAAGGAAGAAGAAGAAGTAACGAATCGGCTATCGAGACGAATAAAAACCTCGAGTCCCCCTCCCCCAGGAGTGTTACGGTTTTTTTTTTTTAATCACATTAATAATCATGAAATTGGAAATAATATCGGCAGCGGACTTTCTCGTCCAATTGCTCCGACTACAGGCTGGCCAGCTGTCGGAGCGTCAACTCGATGAATTCAAATCATCATTGAGTGATGTATTACGTAGACGCTACAGAGATCACTGGTTTCCAGATCGTCCAAATCGTGGATCTGGTTATCGTTGTTTACGTATCAATGGAAAAATGGATCCAGTAATAGCACTTGCTGGTAGAAATGTTGGTTTATTACCAACAGTATTGCATACATTATTCCCGAGTGAATTGACAATGTGGATTGATCCAGCTGAGGTGTCGTATCGCATCGGTGAGAATGGTTCCATATGTGTTCTCTATGAGAGAACAGAGCCTGATCCTGAGGAGATGACACCCAGGCCATCGTCATCGTCATCATCTGTTTCGTCAAGTTGCTCATCATCGAGCTCAGTGTCGTCTCTGTCTGCTGCATCATCACCATCACCAGCATCTCACTCGCAGCAGCAGCAGTACGAGAGCTGCAAGGACTCACTCATATACGAGCATACGCAGTTCAATGAACAAATAGCTGCATTCGTATCGAGTTGAATTCGCTAATGGAGAGGACAAATTCATCGAATTAATTACAAATTATGAAATATTATAAACGCCCACATTGATCTTCGTGTTTCCTCGTGTTGTTTCGCCAATCGACCATTTCAATTACACTGGAATGATACATGGACCTTTGCTTCATCATCTTGGAAGATTATCTTTGGAGTTTCGTACTACACTCTTGTTTATCACGTGAAATTACTTCATATATCGTTTGCGTCTTTTCTTTTTCTTTCTCTCCATCAGCGTATTATTACTTTATTGAGTTTACGAGACTTTTATTTTCGACAATGGGGGGATGAGGGATGGGGAGAAAAACATGGGGATCTGTTGCTATCACCGCCATGTTGGACGCTCGATCGTTCGTCAGACCATCAACTTTCGTACAACAAGTCCGTCCATCTGACTCCAACCGCCGATTCTAACGTACGCCAGCATCAGAGGGGAAAAAAATGTGAGGAAAAAAGAGATACTGCGTCACCGGTGGACTCCAACATTCAATGGGAATTAAATATGTACTAGCCTCGTGCAAGCTAACTGATCTCAATTTTTTTTTTCTATTATTAATCGTTGTAATTGTAATTTTATCGTTTATTTTCATTTTTTTTCCCGACATCTCTTGTCTGATTATTTTCTTCATTTTTAGTTTGTCCGTTTGAGGACTAGTGTGATGCTATTTTTCTTTTTAATGGGAAAAGAAATGAAGTTGAACGGGATTTTTTAATTTCGGAGAAACAAACAACGACGGACAATCCTTGATATCACGGCACAAAACAATACATCGAGATTAAACGCGTCCAGCCCCTGTTTTATGATAATACAGTAACATCAGCACCGTCATCATCTCAAATCTCTCGAGACCTCGAAAATACTGATAATTTTGTGACCGAGAGAGTTAAATATGGAGGAGAGGAGAGAAAATTTAATAGTATGTGTAAATGTACATAGACACATAGCATTGTATGTAGAATTGGAGCGCAGGTACATGTACGTATTTGTGATCTGTTAATTGTATATTACATCCTTTTTAAAACAGCTGTGATTTTATTCGCGAAATGAAGGGATTTAATAGTACGAGAGTGATGCCTGGGGAATTTTTCTTTTAATCAGGACCCAGAGATTAAAAAGTTTCTTGATGTTTGAAAAAAAAAAGTTTCTGCTATCGAGGAACGGAGTTCTCGCATTTTACATTATTATCTTCAATCTAGAAAACTTTTTATTTCGTTAGTCAAGTAGAAAGTGAGATAAGTCGAATTTTAATTTGGTTTGACGTCGGTGGATCTCAAAAAATATTGATTTTAGGCGGAAGTATCAAGACCTTTTTTGTTGGAAATTTAATTGACTACGAAAAAGTCCTACGATGTTTCCGTCTTGAATCTATGGTTTTGTGGATAAATTATACACGAAAAATTGTGACTTTAATTCATATCAATTTGCCACTCCGTTACACTGAGAAGAAAAAATTACTTTTGCCAATTAAATTCACTAATAACAATTAATTTTTACTTATGTACTTGTGACGCGTAAGCTTATTTAGCAGGAGTATTTTTTTTTTGCTGAGTTTTCCCAGGACCAGAAATTTCTTTTCTAACGAATACATTTTTTTTCCAACATCAAGAAAGTTAATCTCTCTGAAGTTTTCATTTAGAATCCTGTCTGCGATCGTTTAGGATTTTTCACACTGAAATTACATGAAAGGTACCATCGACAGTTACTAATTGACCCAACAAATGCCACCGAGATAATCGTACAAATGATATATTATCTTTTATTTTTTATTCGCATTGTTTTTTTTTTCTTTTCTCAGATCCGAAACGTTTAGGTAGTTTAAGGATGGATGAGTGCTGATCCTTCGTAAACGTGATAAAGAAACGAAAAGTTGATGGGAATGAGTGGATGCCTTTTGAGGATGAATGAATGTGTGCGAAGAATGTGCAAAGGGTGAACGAATGAGTTCGCAGATTAAATCGTTACGATGAGATGCTTGGGAATATTAAACGCGTGAGCAAAATTATTTCAAGGTGATACCAAGGGGACGGATTTCAATTATCGTCGTGTCTGACGCTTTTTGGGGGAAGGCTCTGTGTACGTAGCAATTAGTGTTAAACACATCTGTGATTATCGTAAACGGTGAAATGAGTAAAATGAATTCATGTAAGACAATATTTGTTGGTATTGGTTGACAATTTATACTGAATGCGTCCTTCTGAGGGGTTTATTACCGACCAAAATAATTCCTATTAGATCATTCCAACGAGTATTGAATCGATATCAAAGAATATATTTGCTGTCTTTATTTTTTTATTTCATTTCTTTCATTGGCTTTCAATTAAAATTGTCAATCGAGGAGCAGAGGGAAGGAGCAACAATAAGGAATTATTACATACGTACAATTGTCTTAGTACTTTCAATTGATATTGAATTCTTGCATAATCTCTTTTGATTTAGTATTCGGTGGAATGACCTACCCATACGTAAAAGATGTAAAAGGATGATTCATTGTACATTCGCCCCATTTTAGTTGTATTATTACGTGCCCATACGAAATCATGGCTAAACTGGTACCTCCTGATGATTCTTATTTTAATTTTCATTCATCAATGTTTCCATTTCTTCCCCATACACTTGCATTCATTCAGGTTCAGTTTACGCAATATTTTAAACTTGTAAATTGCTGATAAATTTAACAGAAAACAAATCATAATTGAATGCTGAAATTTTTTACATTTTAATAATTTCTCTCTCATTTTTGTATAAATTCACAATTACTGTACAGTGAAAAGAAACAACTTTATATATATATATTATATTTTAGATATAATCAGAACAGTCTATGAAACAAAAATAATGTTATCAGCATTTAATTGGAATTTGCGTGCAAATAAAGCGTCTGCGATAATAACTAATTCCACGTACTCAATTGTAATTAAAATATATACACTCTTCAGCAGAACTTGTAATTATGCATAGAGTCCTTCAGGAAGAATTTGTACAAAAAAAAATAATGAGAAAATGAAAAAAATAACCGCTGGAGACTTCGTTTCCAGCAAGTCTGTGATTTTAGCTTGGTTAATTCAGTATTTTTTTAAATAAAAAAGAAAAAAGAAAATTACAAAAAAATATATGAAAGTGGTAATTTACAAGATGGAAAGAATCGAAACGAATATATAATCATGAATTGCGAACGAAATGCGAAAGAGTGAGTGAGTGAAATGAGAGAATATACATTCGAGTGGATTGTACGAGTGTGAATTATAAATGAACAGTGGAGTAATGAGGATAATGCAGTACTTGACGGGGGATTTGAATTTGACGTGGGGAAATATTATGGGAGAGCAGGTGCGTGAATTTTTTCAATTGAACAAGGAGCAAGTCGTCGTTACAATTAATGTCAAGTATTGGGGGTTTTCGAAAGGCTATTTTGAGGCAACACGAATTTATTCAGAAGTGAAGATCGAGATCTCGAGTCAATTCTTGATAATTTTGGAGTTATCTCGGTAACTTGAAGCTGCAGGAGAAAATGCCAGAAGTTTTTTTTTTTAGAAAATCTCTTTTTCTATAAAACATATCTCTGACATTTCTTTCTAAAAATCACTTGTTGCGGAGATAGCTCTGTTTTTAACAAGATGTGAGCAATAAAATTGTTGGATATCACTTGTTTTTTTTATGTGGATTTATTTCGAGAATGTCTCATTGTCGAGGTAATTCTGTATTTGAAAAAAAGGATGACTTCTTGTTTCACCACTGAATGAAAAAAGTCAAAAATCTCAGTTATACAATTGATGAATTTTGAAATAATGAGCCGTGATTTAAGAGTTTTCTAATTTCGTAATCGGGTAATCAATACATTTTTTGCATTGTAATCAATGAAATTTCTCCAATGATTCAAGTTTATTTTCCACCGGTTTCAATTGAAATGCTCCCACACAAAATCGTAGGCAGTACTACCTTTCCTTTAGAATCAGTCTGAGTTGAGAACGAGATGTATAAATAATAATGCGAGAGTCTGAAAAAAAAATCCTCAATAATGAAAATAATCAATTTTTCACAAGATAAAATGTTGAAAATCTGTTGTTCGTTCTGTAAGTTGAACAATTGATACATCCGCAGAGAGTTAAACATTTCCGTTGCATTTAAATGAAGTGAGTATCTTCAGTCCTATTCGATAATGCTGAAAGAGAAAAATCTAGGCAACCCTAAAATTTGTTGCACTAGAAAAGGTATTTGAAAAACAATTAAACAACCGTGGAGTAAACGCAAACTACGCACAGATTTTTTTTTTCGAAATAGATGAGAAATGAATAAACACATTGCAGCAGACTCCTACGAGGAAACACTCGAATCCCTAGTAACGTAGGTTCACTATTATCATACAATTATAATATTATATCTATTATGTCAGTGTATAATTATATTTAGTTATTAAAAATTCATTAAAAATGATGAAAAACAAAATTGATGAATAAAAACTATAATTTTCCGCTTGTATATATACGCCGTGAGCTCGAAAAAATGAAAAACTTTAACGAAATATTATGAAAAAAATCTATAATTTTTTCGACTGTTTTTGTACAGAGATAAATAAAAACAAGAGGCCTCGTGCTTATGGAATTTCATGAAAAATTATTGGATTTCTATCATTTCGTTGTTCCTGCTCTTTCCCAATTCAAATACTCAATAAATATTGGTGCGAGGCGAGACAACATCGGAGTAAGAAGAAAATCATCATGGGAAAATCGACGGGATTGAAATCAAGTCGTACATTAAATTATCCCACCACTCAATGACTTTAAAGAGAAATGTCTCGTTTTTCGTTGAAAATTTTCTCAGCCACAAAAAAGATCTGGTCACTGCTGCCTGAAATCACTTGATGCTGAGATAAATGAACAATTGACACAAATTTCGAAACGGAGCACGTTAATTCTTCACATCCTGTTGAATATTGAATTACCTCATTAGTGAGTGCTTTGGAATGAATGGAACAGAGGACATTTCAGGAAATACAATTCTCTTGAAAAAATCCGCGAAATTTTCTCTTTTCTCCTGAAAAACTCCAGCCAATTTTCCAGCTTATTAAAGAGGAGACTATTTACTCAACTGATTAAAAAAAATCTGTCATTCTTATTGAAAATTCTCCCAATTTAATTAATTTAATAATCAGATTGATTTGATTTAATTTTCTTTTCCTACCTTAAAATTTGAATTCTCCCAAAAAATTGAAGCTGCAATTCAATTCCAAAATTCCAATAAGTTTCAAACAATTTTATCCCATTCGATATTTGGCACTCGCCATCACATACATGGTTGTAATTATTCGTTAATTTTATTCGTTAGTTTTAAAACACTTATTTTTTAATTAACTAAAGTCTTTCTCAGTGTGCAATCGGTAGGTTTAACAGTTTTTGAAGATGATTTGATTGTAGATTGACTAGATTGCTAGATTAAATTTCGAAATTGAGATGAAAATGATGAAATAACGTGAAGCAAAAGGGAAAAATTGGAGTTAATGGGAGTAATATTTCAACTTGCGACCCACAAGCGCACGCAGAATCACCTATTGCCTAGTACCCAGGGAGCAACGTGTTGTGAGGAGGTCAACCTCGGTTGTTGCCCTGACCGCCTCTGTTTTCTTTGGCTCCGTCACATTGGCCTCGTAGATCTCTATCTATTCTTCGCATTACCACTAAATCACCGACAGCCCCCCAATAATCCCTTCATCAAGAATTACTTGCAATTACAATTACCAATCCCGTGCCACATTCACTAATATATTTTCATACTCCAGAGAGAAAAATAATATAATTTCAAATTCTTGGCTTATCCATATTCTGACAATTTCCTTCGTTTTACGAAATATCGGAGAATTCGGAAATTAAAATAATAATAATTAAACAAGCTCCACTCTGAAAATTGGTGAAATAAAAAATGTAGGTCAATTGTCAGGAATATTCAAGTTGAGAATTCTGCGTTTATTTTAATTTTAGCTGCGTTTAATTGTAATATCAATTGTGAATTTAAATTGTGTCACAAAAAATTCAAGTAGATTAGCAATTTCTTGTGAGAATCTACCGATATTTTTTTAGTCTCTATTAAATCGAATTCAATGTCACTTTGAAAAATAGTTGGTCAACTGTCCATAAAATTCAATTCTATCCACATGCGGTGAGTTTTATTATATTATATTATTGTATTATATTATTATCCTTGTTTTATTTTTCTCAATAGTTTCTGTGATAACGGATGGGATGAGCATGACTCTGGGACTTTGTTGTACGATGTACAATAACTAAACTCGTATGAACAGAAGAGAGCAGCTTTTGTCCAGAAATCTCTGACATGGAATTGATAATCCGCCAACTAGAGCCTTGTCATTTGAGAGAGTACAAGTACAGAGGAGAGGGCAATGCCAATCTAGTCATATCTCTCCCACTGGTGAGTTTTTCCAAATTTATTCTAAAAACTGAAGAATGTCTTGTACATCTGAATTTTTAAGCGCACCATCTCAATTATTTGTACCACAATATTTCATTGGATCCACTCACAGATGCAATTGCTCTTCATAGCAAAAACGGAAGTAATAATCATATAATTTCTCTGGTAACTTCGTCCTCAGTCCCCTACACGTCAATTCACTAAAAAATTTCTCTTAATACTTTTGTGGTTGAACATCAGAGATTTCAGTCGAGGAATTATTCAATTAAAAATGTAAATCTTAAAGAGTTTGAAAAATAAAATCAAGTTGAAGGCCTTTTTCACGTATTTCCATTATTTCCATTATTCAAAATCTCTCTGGGATTTTTCACGTGATTGAGTTTCTAAAAATTGATTTCCCCCTCAATCAAAATTCATTGAAGCTGTAAAATATTCATTGGTCTCCCACACAAAACTCAGAGTTCCCTGAAACTCAACGTAAAACAGGAAAATGAATATTCCAACGAGAATGGCAGTGATATTTGCCATCAACTTTCAAAAAATTTCTAACAAGCGCAGAGTAATGTCACAGTAAAAATGGAGTTATGTCGTGATATCACTTGACAACTGAGTAGTTGGAGACCTCGAGTCTAAAAGGTCATTGACTCGAAGTTATTATTGCCTTATATACACACCCCCCATACATTTTCAATATTACCATCGTTGATTGTGCGATACGTTGTATTTACAAACACGCGAGTAGTCACTTCGTATTTTTGTGGGCCCTTATGGATTTTTCATTAGTCCCACATAAAAACCAGCACTTGAATAAAGCATGGAATCAAGTTCATTGGACCTGATGACAACGTCTTGTCTCAAAATTCATGACTTCAATCGTGGGATCTGCCTGGGGTAATGATAGACACTGGGGATAAGGCGGTGAAAGGAATTGACATTTGCCATATTCTTTCTCTAACATCACGAAGAATATGATAAAGAAAATTTTCTCTCATTGCAGACGAGGTACATCCTACGCTTTCGCAAAATCGAGGCGACCGAGAAGAGACCGATCGATGGAATAGAGACGAGGATTTTATTGGAATGGAGGTTCTTCATGAAGTTCATTTGGAAATTTATGGGGAAGTTCGTTGCTCCACCTGAAGTGTTACGATGCCATCCACGAGATTTTACGGATTGGCATGAAAAAGTCGAAGTTCTGCGTCCAGGTAGGCACTATAATGCAATACAATATCTTTACTTAATACACGTTTATAAAGTTTTCGCAAAAATATATTTTTTATCAGTGGATGTTCATTTGAAATCGATAGAAACTTTTTTATGTATATCGTTTATCTTTATGATAGGTCTGTGTTTTACAGACCACCGAAAGCATAAAAATTCCTTCAACGAATTTGCCATAAAGTTACCAGACTACGCTCAACTTCCTGAATACCTTGATGTAGACAGAGGGAAGCCAACATTCTGCATAGAGATCAAGCCGAAACAAGGCTTCATACCAGAATCAGAGAGGCATATGCAGCATTGCCCGTACTGCATCAAACAAATTCACAAGGTAATGAAAAAATTATTGTCAACAGGCACGTGGTGATCTTCAAGGCTCTATTTGCTTTCAGATATCCGCGAATAAACGGAGCGGATACTGTCCTTGTGACCTCTTCTCCATGGATGAGACTCGAGTGCATCGGGCCATTGCTGCTCTCTTTAAATCTCCACAGAATAATTTGATAATATTCAGGGATGGAGAGACCGTATGGGGGGAAGGACATTCCTTGGATTGTTTAGATAAGATCTTGCACGAATTCTTCAACAATGGATCGCATAAAGACAATCGAGAATTGATGGCTGAATTATGCCTGCTGATAGCAGAGGCTTTGCGTCGAGAATTTTCCCTCGAAGAAAAATCCACCGATTCCGGTGTAAAAGCCGATGATATCATCGCAAAGTCACGTGAGAGTCTGAATCATTACAGGTCTGACGATGTTTCGGGGCCGAGGGGAAAGGTAGAAATAACGGAAAAATTTTTTTCAATTGACTTTTAATTGATCGATTGTATTTGGCAAATACAAAATGATTTTTATGGGAGAACTTCGACTGTGGACTTAAATAAAAAAATACTGTCGATGGTTTTTCAACGATAACTCTAGTAGTAATTATTCAAATCAATTGTATTGTTGCATAAAATATTATATTGGCTTTAGACAAATGGTTGAGAGAAGAAAAGAAATGTAGAATGAATATTTAAAAGTAGATAGCTGTGTTATCACCGATAATGCAACACTCATTCACAAAAAATGTGATTATCCACTTTGTTTTTTTTTTTTCTGTTTTCAGTTCTGCGATTTTCCCAGTGGAAATTTACCGGATGGATCTATTCTCGGCTGTCTCTTTCGCATGCAACAACTACACAGTTCGAGTGCTGACGACGTATACAGAATTTATTCACAACATTCAACACACCTCAATGAGGAAATCGTTTACTTCTCGGAGTCTTGTGAATACAAATCTGGGGGGCATAGTGTTGACTTCGGGGATATTCTGATCTTACGAAATTATTTGCTATTCACTACTGCCAGGGATTGCTCGGTGTTGCTCACCTTTCGTGAAGTAGACCCGTAAGTTCTCCAGAGTGATTGGAATGGAGATTTTTATTTTTTAGTTGAATTTTTTTTTCTTCCAGGGGAGAGGCGTTGAAAATTCCACCAGAGCATGTGATTAGAAGTAAGGAGAACACTTTTGTCTTCAACATTGGACTCACGGATTTAGATCCTAAACCCTTGAATCGAATTCATAAACATCAACGACGTGCCATTGAAGGCTTTAGAACAAGTCAATAAAATTATTTAGTACGGTTGATTAAAAAAATGTTTGATTTCAATTATTGCTATCCGGCAATAACGAAATTCGACTCGAGAATCGGATTTTTCATGTAAGATAGTGTCTCTTAGGACGAAAATATTTTTTATACAGGGAAATTCATCGAGAAATCTTCTGTTTCTGAGTGTAAGATCTAGCTTCTTATTATTATTATCGATATCTCATTATTATTACTGTCTCATCCAAAAATTATTGAATAACCAAAACCATATATTTTCTTGTAAAAGACTCAGATAATTTTTGTGATAAAGATTTTTAATCTCAAAACGATTCATTGCCCCCCTAAGATGTAGTTGAATTGTACGTGAATATAGGTTTATAAAAAAATGAAGAATTATTTATTTTTAAAAGTGGATTTGTCTTTTTTTATACGTCATGAACCCTGAAGAATCCTTAATTGAACAATGTCTCTGAAATTTTTATGAGTGTTGAAGATTTTTCGGACATGATTCTATCGATAAAAATATTTATTCCACGAAATGATTTCTTTTGATTGCATCAGGTACTCATTCATCAATTGTTATCGGAAATTCTTACGATATTTAGGTGAACATTTGAAATATTTATCAAGAAACTCCACAAAGACTTGTAGATTCCCTTCATTTCCTTGATGTTACAATAGATTTTTTGTTTGACATCACAAAGACTTGTATTTTATTCAATTAGTAACTGTACCTTATCTTATCTTACCGTTTGTTGCTCATCAATTATTAACTAGAATTTCTGGTTATTTCCGGATTTTCGATAGTTATCACAGAGAGAAAATGATGTAACAGCAAAAATCGAATTTTTTTTAATGATAAAAAGTACTGAACATAATATTATTACAAGTGTTCATGATCCAATGACTTATATTTTCCCTCTGTTTCCCATATTGTCGACTAGTCGATAATGTAGGGGCCACATGAAAATTATCGATATCTCATTGAACTTCACGCATGAATAAAAATTTTGCGTATAATTTTTTACGTCTTTCAATACTTTCAACATCTAAATATATATAAAATCAAGTAAACAAATAATAATAACACAATAACAATAAATAATAACCCATAATCATTTAAAACATAAACATAAGACCCTCCCCCCAAAAAATGTTTACCATATCAAATTATATCAAATTATAAATTCAAAATTTGTTTAAAGTCAAAATAAAAAGGATATAGTTGAGAATGAGCTAGAAAAATAGAGTAAAAAATTGTTTGTGAACCGAAAAATTCAGAACGCTCTCCAAACTCATAAGCATCTCCCGAAGATGGTGTTCCACCATCAGGAACCCGATGATTCGAATGATACCACATGACCTGACCTTCCCCAACCCCTACAACTTCAAAAAAATGAAAAATCATCCCCATTGTCACCTGAAACTCACCCCAATACCTCAACACCTCAAACTGGCCACCCCAAGACACGAGAATTCGAGATTGACCCTGAAATTAGCAAATCTCAAAAAGTCAATACCTCGCGTTATCAGAGAATGGCCCATAGACGTACCTCATGAATGGCTTCGTCCCAAGAATGAAACCCAGTGAAGTTGACCCCCACCCTCATGCCATTGGCCAGCAGATGACCAGAGTGGGGATTAAAATGCGTCGGTGAAAATGCGCATGTCACTGACTCCCACAGCTTTCACCTCTCTCGAGTTATTATTCCCCCAGTGTGAAAAAAAGCCTCAATTCACCTCAACAACCCAAAGCCAATTAACAAAATAAAAAATTCACAAATCCCCCAAAATTTTAAAAATCACCCCCACCATCACATCTCCATTGAATAAAAAATCTACAATTCCCCTTGGCTCACCTGATCATAAATTTTTACAATTTTTTTTCTCTCTCTATTCTCCCCTCTCCAAACCGGCTGTATTGGTTATAGGAGCAAAATACCAGGCAATACTCACGCCTGTCCCCCCAACTTGACACACCACACGAAAACATAGCCAACAGTGTTTGCTTCTAAAATAAATAACCCCCATCTATTCATAATTCCTCGATTGGTCATTATCACCTCGAAACAACTGATTTTTAACGGGCAGTGGTGAATGTGGGGGCCAGTGCTCCATGAAAAATGGACCGGTCGGTTTGTCAATGTGTAAATAAACATGTGATGATGGAATTTCATTGATTGAAATACGTCAACCAGGGTGGGGGCGGG